CGGCTAGTGGAGCCACTATGGTGAAATCCTTGGCAGAATTGTTTCCTCTTCCCTTCTTCTTTTTTTTTCCCTTTTTTTTTTTTTATTCATGATGTTCATTATTATGAGCTGTAAAGACTACGAGAATTTCATTTTTTTAAATGTCTTATGGAATGTATCACTTTCTTAGATCTTGTAGACATGCTGTGGAAACCATAACATAAAATATGAGTTACTTACAATAACTAATTTTAATCCCATCTGCTAAGTATGACAACATTAGCATTTCCACTTAATTAAAAACACCCTTAAAGCAGCAATGTTTTAATCACTCCATTTTATTTACTCTCCTCCGGTGTCACTTATAATTGTAACTTTTTATTTTTTAATAATGAGGGATTTTTTTTTCGCTGTGCATCACACAAAAAAGTGCTGTCGATAATTAGCAGTCTTCTGTTATTACTAGACTCAGGTGTCACAACTGTGTCTCATCCTCATTACAGTAAAAAATTTCACCTATCAGATTCATTATTGCTAGATAATGCGGCTGAGAGCCTTAGCAGGCCCTCCAGAAAAGTAATTCAGCCAAGCAAAATTATCAGCTAATTATATTTAGAATCAAAAGCCCAACAACTATTTGCAGATAAATTGTATGAATTGAAGTGAATAGATCTGAATATTAAGATTCATAGATTTAGCAGATGATTTGTTAATTGGAATAAAAAGGTCATTTACTAGCCATTTTAACAATAGATCAATCGGAGCGCTGTTTATTGTTTAACTAGTGGCGCTCAAGAAGTGGAATGGAGAATAATTGTATTATTTTCCTGATAGGAGGTTTTTCTGGAAAATAACCCGAGCCGGGGGGGATTTTGGGGTGCTTTTCTTGCTGTATTCGGCCCAAAACCCCACGTGTCGTGAACCAGCTCGGTTCWAACAGGGTGGGAAGGGGACCTGGAGCAGGGAGCGGGAGCTCCAACCCTTCCAGACCCACCGAAGCTTTGGGGTGGAAAGGTGGGAAAGCCAGGGCAAACGGGAGCCTTTGCAAATGAAAGAATTCCAAATCCGAGCCTGTCTCCGGCAAAGTGCGCAAGCCTGGCATTCCCGTTTTACTAATTCAGGCTGCAGCTAGAGGTTTGGAAGGGCAAATTGCGTGCTCAAGTGRTGACTCAGATTGCATCTTGGCCTGCAGTTCTGTTTTAGGGAGCTGCTCTTCTTTTTTTTTTCCTTTTTTTTTCCTTTTTTTCTTCATCCAGACGAAATGATTAAAAAGCAAATATTTTAACATAACTTAGTGATCTAAGCTATTACTGAAATGTCCACAGTTTCACTCTTTTTTTTTTTCTTCTAGATTAAAGAAAACTTTAAAAATCTATTTGCTTTGACATATGACACAATATTTAAGAACTGAAATCATCAATTAAATCACACATCAGAAACATTTCCCTTTGGTAAAAAATATAGTGCTAGACGATGTACACTTTGAAATTGTTGTTAATGTTTAAAATGCAATCTGAAGTACATATGTTATTGCAAAAACCATAAATTACAAATTTTAAAAGTTTATGGAAAAAAACAGCAGTCGTTCCTCAGTAGAGCATTTGCAGAGAAATGTATATCTTTGTTTTTTGAGKTTTTTTTGTATGTCTGTTTTTTGTTTTTTGGTTTTTTTTATGGATAAGCATAGTTGTCTAGCATGGAAGCTGGCTGTGTTATTCTTTATTTTATTTTTGTTCCTGTTCAACACTGAGCAGAACTAAAGGAAACGGTTCATTCTGGGCTAGATTGGCTGCCTGAAATAAAGCAATCRAGCCAAGGCGCATGTGAATATAGTGAAGATCTTGCAAATTGTCACTGTTAATAAAAAGGTGAACTTTGATGGGATTTCTGAATTTTTTTTCTAGGGACTGAGGCACGCTGAAGTTAAAAATAAAGCCCTCGTATGGTCAACATGTTGGAGGAAATTCAAAGACTCTCATAAAATAAACATATTCTAAGAAGTGTTTTGAATTTCACTATGTAATTTCTGGCCAACAGAAATTACAGTCGTATCTTCAGAGGGACATTATGTCAGATCAATGGTCATTATGCAAAAATAACAAACGGGAAACCTGACGTTTTAACCCRTGGAAGTCCTGAAAAACGACGGGAATGACCTGAACTGCGGCGTAACCCGAGGGATTCCGGCCCCACGGGTGCTGCAGGGCTGTCACCCTTGGGTGCTGCCCGTCCTGCCCCGTCCGTGCGTCGCCCCCGCGGCCCCCACACTGCAGTATTAAGAAAAGCCGCCCGTACTTCACCATGTTGTTACATGTGTCTGTCTGCTGATTGCAAAATGTGTTAAGCAGTATTTAAAAAACAAAAAAATGCAGAGCTGCGCTTTGATTTATTCAGCGCACAAAACATATGCTCACTGTTCTGTTCTATGCAATTCATATGATCAATAAAATTTTCTTGAAAAAGAGCAACTTTGGCATTTAGAAGGATTGCGCTGCCGAGCAGGGGAATGTTTTGCTCATGCTGTACGTAGTCGCCCTCCCTGCTCTTGCACCCAAGTAAGTTTTTCCCGTTTTCACGCGTTTTTCCCGTTTTTGCTGTTTTCACCCCACAGGTTGGAGGCCGTGTACTGTGGCTGCTACCCGCTGTGTCCCCGGGCCCTCGTGTACCCCGAAATCTTCCCAGGTAGCTGCTCTCCCCACACCCTCCCTGCTGAAACGCAGTACGTGATTCCTGCCGAAACCCAAAGTTCGAGGATAAACTCGAGCGCGAGCAATTGTTTATTTGGCAAGCCGGCGTGTTAGTGTTAAGGAAAATTTTATGTGTTTTAATACATTAGACGGAGTTTATATTTACCATCTGTTCTTTTAAAGATAGCACAAAAGCGAGTTTTGAAATAGCATTCTTCATTGTGAGCATACACAAGCCGTAATGATAGATTTTTGGTAAAAAGGTCAGTGATGCTGCAGTGGTTTGCAGATTTTTTTTGATGTGCGGAGGGCAAAAAAAAAAAAACAGAGGCCTGAAAATCCCACCAAATTATTTAAACAATTTAATACTTAATAGTGTGTCACGGTGGTAGAGGATACACACTAATGCAGGACCAGTTCTTAGAAAAATCTCATCACTAAATGTATCACATATGCATTGTGTTACATTAGAATAATGTATTTTAATCACCCAAAGGAGATGTCTAAACAGCACAACTACACAGTCTTATTTAGCATTAAACATCCTTGTGAGCTGAGGTAACCTTATAAAATCATGCTTAAATAATGTAAAACACGAGGCGGCACAGAGCAATATGCATTTTTAATTAGTAAAGTGACTAATATCGAGTGTGTGCTTTGAGGTTTTTGTTTCATTAAAAATGTATCTGTTTTTCCTGCAGCTGAATATCTGTATTCTACACCTGAACAGCTTTTTAAAAGGCTTCAGAATTTCTGCAAGAGACCAGATATTGTAAGGAAACATCTCTATAAGGTACTTGCTCAGAATAGTTTTACAAGATATAATGCCATATTGATGTACAAAGGGGGGAAAAAAAAAAGACCTTAAAAAAAACAACATTTAATTAACATACTAATGTTTAAAGGAAACATGCTAGGGAGGGATATTAGTCGTTACACTAACAAGGATTAATTAAACTAGATGCCAGTTGTATTAACCTAGGTCTTATGAAATACGTGCACTTAATGCATGCTACATGCTTTTTTTTTTAATTTATTGTTTTCTAAAATGACTGCCCTTTACATTTGGGCCCAAGAGGCTTATAAAAATGAACCTGGATTAATGTAACTCATTAGTTTAAAAGGAAAATAAAGAAAGATACTACAATTATACTAATGAGGATAAGCCTACCTTTCCATCCTAATTTAATCTCCAATCCTCAAAAAAATGCAGGTGACTGCTATCATCAGGTAAGGTTTGGGGAATATTTGAATTAGTTTGATGATCATAACTATTTTTGCTCTTTGTTTTTGTAAAGTATAGTGAATATAAAGTTTTCTGTAGACATAATTGGCAGCTTTACAGTTATTTATTTAGAGAAAGTAGAGTTTAAGTGGCAGAGCAGCCACTGAAGCTTCCATCGGGGTGCCCAATGCCAGTTTTCCAGATGCATATTTGTATTGCTAGGAGTCAAACTTTATTTTTGCATTAGATGAATACAGACGAAGCACTAAATTTTACGTTATTTCAGCAAAAAGCCCTGCTTACGTGGTGGGGCGTTTATAAAATACCCGCTATATTTTGCATGCCAGGATGTCCACTTGACGCTACTGCCTGCTCAGGTCCCTCTTTTGCAGCCCTGGCTGCACTGTGGGCAGGGAGAGGCTGTTCCTGGCAGGACCAGGGCATTTCAGGTGGCATTTTTGCAACTGATTGGRTCAAATAATCTCTGCATTTGGCTACATTCAGCTCTCTCCCGCTTTGGACTGCCTCTCTACCCCAGTCTTGCCCATGGATAACTCTTTCGTTGACCTAAACCTAGACGTTTGCATAATGATACATCAAAGACCATGTTGTTTTCTGCAGGAAACAGTTAAACTTCGAGAGGGAAAAAAAAAAAAAGGAGAGAACCAAAAATGCAATTTAACACCCAATTTCAAGCTCATTATCTTTCATTGTCTATTAACTTGGCAATGGTTCAGAAGGTAGCTCATAATAGTTTAAAATGCTGACTGAACATTTCCAGCGCTCAGTGTCGCTCCCAGACGCGGCAGTGTCGCCGGAGTTCGGGATGGGGCCTGGGAAGCAAAGACAGGCCCAGAGTGGGTCCTTGGCGGTTTTTTTAACCCACACGGGCTATTTTGCAACTAAACTCACCATAAAACCTCCTAAAAAAAAGAGAAAAGTGGCATCCTCAGAAGGAACTTGGATCATCTTTGTGCATGTTGTTGCTATTTTATTATTATCAGCAGCATTAAGGATATCYAAAATGTTCAGGATTCCTGCTTGTCCTCCATGCTTGTGCTGATGGAGGTGGGGGCAGAAGGAAAGAAGAAGGAATTCCCTCTCTTCCATGCGAGGTATCTGTGCTTGCTAAACTAAGCATTAGGATGGAGCAAAGGGCATCCAGGGCCAGACGTGTCCCTCAGGGGATGCCCTAGGACCTGACAGTGTTTGCAAGCTCACCAGGCAGGACTTGCTTAAAACCTTTCCTTTCTGGGCTATTTGCTTTGTGTTCACCTTTCAGTTCCCCTCCCCATTCATGTTCTTGATTTAAAGCAGTCCATATAAGAAGAGTAGACCATGGAAAGAGCCGTCATGGTTGCCCAAAACCAGGTCGGGAAGGAGCAGACAACCCCAGATAACGTCCCTCAGCCCTCACCACTCATGAGTGCAGCTGAGATGCCCTCATCTCCAGGTTCTGTAAGGAAACCTCCTCTCGCTGGGGCTTATTTAAGGGAGAAGAGGATTTGACCCATTTTCTGACATCCACCCAGTGCTTCATCCCAGCCCAGGAAGACACACACCATGGGGCTTCCTTCTCGCTCCCATCACTGGAAGGAGGAGAAGTGCCTCTCCCAAGCTCAAGGGGATTGAACTGCTGTAAAATCAAATTAAGGTCACACTGAGACCTTCGATATCTGAGTTGTTTCATGTCTTGAGATTTGTCTTTATAGGCCACTTTTAACAAAATTTTCATTCCCTCTCCATGCCACACTCCATTTCTTATTGCTCCAATWGAGAGAGAACAATATTTTTATCATTCCAGGAAAACTGAGGTAGACAGGAAAACTGCTTCTTTTTTTCAGCCATACTTCCCTAATTTTCTGTTAGTATTCACTGTTGTCATTCTTTAGGGGTAGGTGCCCGTTGGACCTTGTCGTTGAAGGCTTTCCATAGCAAGGAGATTCTTCATGCATTTGCACTCTTAGCTAGAGGCATTTCCTTTAATCAGTACGAAGTTTCCCTGCCTTCATTTCCTTGAGGGTCTCCTCATTCCTGAGTTGTTCTCCAGCAAACAGAAGCTCTCAGTCCGTCTTTCTGATGCTCTTTGTTCTCTTGCAAACATTTCTCAAACACTTAATGGTACGTTGGTCTTCCCAGCTCTCCTCATGAATGTTTTTCTGCATTTGTGTTCTCCTCCCCTATCGTTCAGCCCATGCTGATGCTCAAGAGCTGCTTCAGGATGGGGAGATCATTACTTTGCAGGGTATTCTAGACCATGCCATCAATTTATGCATTCTGTGTTCACTGTCAACCTGTTCCTTAGGCAGCCAAACTGCTGTTTACTTTTCTAACCATGGATGTGTATTGAACAGATGTTTGTTTACAGTGTTCTCCAGATCTTCTGTCCTGAGCTGATAAAAGTAATTTAGAGCTCTATAGGGTGAATGACTAGTGCAAATATCTCTGTCCATCCTACCAACTTCCACTCATCAGCAGAGTAGGCTTGCAGAGAAAAGTATGGAATTTTTGCTTTTTTTTTTTTTTGCAGTGGGAATTTGTAAGCACGAGGGGGAAGCTCATGGTTTCCCCTTAAGATACTAGTTTTCCTTTAAGCCTAATTTTAAGCATGTTCAGAAATATGCTAAATACGGGCAGCGTTATTCAGGACAGGAAACTCCTGAATGCAGGGCGATGTGCCTACACTCTCCTAACTCTGTGTCAGGACTAGAAAGAGCTGCTTAAGGACAGGTCCTTAAGTACCAGTGTATGTGACATAAGGATTACCTATGTGAAAAAAACCTTTGGCCAKAGGGTAGAAGAGTAATTTTGGAAGGGACCTCGGGAGGTCATCTGGTTCAGCCTGTGTTCAAGAACGGGCCAGCTCTGAGGTTGGATCTAGCACCAAGTTGGACTGGGTTGCTCCTAGCCAGATCAGGTCTGAAGCCTRGACATTTTTTATTCCCTGCTGTGTTGCTGATTCAGCTGAAGATGTGCCTGGCTTGGGATGTTTCCAAGGGTGGGAAGATCTGCTGGAACATGGAACAGAGCCTTTGCATTTTGGGCCAACCTAAGACCTTAATGATTCTCGTTAAGTAATGCAGATCCTCACTGCAGAAGACAAGAGCTATCAGGAGCTAAAGTAGCCTTCTAGTTCATCTTGGGAGCCTGCAGTATATGTATGTCTATATATGTCTATATATATACACATACCTATCTATACCCAGCCTGGAAAACCTTTTCCTGCATCCCGCATCTGAACTTCTCCCAGGGCTTGGCTATCCCTGGGCTTTTCAGCAGATTTTGGTCCATAGCTCATAGCAGTTGGCTATGTTTGTAGAGCAGGAAGAAAGCATTCATTAAGAAAAGGCAGTTTCGTGTCCATCTTTCAGCCTAAACGCAAGGACTTTGAACTTTTTATTATAACAATATTAGATAGCTTCCAATTTAGTTTCAGAAAGTAAATGAAAACTGGCAGATGAAGCACAGCTGCTGCAGAATGGTAGATAGAGAAATGGGTCAAGGGAATGTGATTGATGGAAAAGTTGGAGAAAGAATGAAAACTTCTCTTTTTTTTCAGTAAAATATATCCAAATTACCTTGAGAAAGAGAGCCAAGAACTCCTTTCCTATGGCTGCAGTTGGCCAGCATGAACCATCCCCTCCTAGCCTTATCTAAAACTACACCGCACATTTGATCTTCTTTCTTTTTGTTTAAAGAGAGAAAGAAAGAAATGAGTTTTAAGATGAAGGAAATGCTTTAYCACAAGTGGCTTTGCAGTTTGACTCTGGCTTGCAAAGGGAAGGAGCTGGSTCACAGGGGAAGGCTGACCCAGGATAAAGGGGCTCTGCAAATCGCTGTGCTTTCTTGTACCCCAAATCTCAGGTTTTGTGCCAGATAGTAACCTCTAGTACTTAGTTTTGTTAATGTTAAAACATAAACCAGATCAGGCCTTTCCCAGCTGTTGAGAAGCAGGAGGTCTGAATGAACAAACTGTCCTTATTATATTTCTGAAGGTTAACTCTGAAGTCTAATGATGACCATGTTAATATTAATTATTTCATTTCCACTCTTAGGACAGAAGAAACAAAAAAGTTGATTATAGCATAAAAAAAAAAACTGTATTCCTGCTGACATCTGTGTCTGATGCCTTTCTTTCATGGGAAGATCTTGCTTTATATGGGAACTGGGCTAATCTTGATGAGTTGCTCTCTTTTATTTAGGAACTATTGGCTGAAATATACTCTATATCTTATGAAAAGCTAAAGAAGGATATTTGCCCAGACCTTTGCAAAGTTATCACCAGAAATATAAAAGCGTCTGCATCTGTAATGCTATGATGTTGCTTTGCCAGAGTCGAAAGCCAGCTTGCTCAGCTGCAAAGGACGTGCAAATAAATACATTTGCAATGTGCGAACTATTAAGCGTGCAAAAAAAAAAAAAAAAAGAGAAAAAGGAAATCTGTGTGCAAATCTCTCATTTTCACTAAAAGCAGGGCCTGGGTTTGCTGTGTGCTCCTTGCAGGGCGCCCCGGCCGGCTTCTCCTGGGCAGAGCTGCGCGGCCAATTCCAGGCCCTGCTCGGCGCCGGAGCGACGCAGGATTCGCGACAGATGGGCCCGAGTCACAAACTTGCAGCCTAAGGCAGAATCGCAGAACTTTCCAGAGTGTGCCCATATTTACCTGATCAGAGAGCAAAGAAAATCTGCAGAGGAAGCCGAGCCTGGCTGCTTGTCATAGCTGACACAGAGCCATCTGCCACAAACCTGTGGCGGCTTCAGATCTCCAATCCCTGCCACCACCCCGGCTCAAATTAAATACAGATTCGTGGAGACGTTGTGATGGTTACACATGTCCTCGGCATCACATGCAGGAGCCTGTTCAARAAAAAAAGAAAAAAAGAAAAAGGGGGAAAAAAAAAAAAAGAAAATAAAAAATATGTGGCCTGTTGTATAACCGCACTCATGTATCCCATATGTGGTGCCACATTGAATTTCCGGTGGAATCTGTTTTTCTCCTTTGTACTGGAGGACACGGTGCCGGAGCGCTCGCTCCGCGCCGGCGCGGTGGCCGACGCTTCCAACGCTGCCTTTGGCTCCCTTTCCAGCCAGGTTGCCATCCCGGACGGAGCCGTGCCGGCTGCTCCGAGGGCCACCGGCTCCCCCCCATCCCTCAAATCTCCTTCTTTTTCCTTTTTTTTTTTTTTTATTTTAGCAAATTAATGGCTCGCTGGCACCGGGGGTTTTTAAGCGAAGGTATTAATAAGGGGTCTGGCAGGTAATCCCATGATTCACCGAGTTACATTTGCATTTAATTAATCTTAAAGAAAGCTGAAAGATAAACAGCTGTAATTCAAACTAGCATGGGAAATATGCTACATGGTGCCATCTATCCGATAAAATGAAAGCCGAGACACTTGTTTTATTTCTCTCAAGGATGGAGAACAAACAGATAACGGTCAAAATACTTCCAATAAAAACCAGTAGCTGCAGTTCATCAAGGATCTTTGCATCCAGTTACAAYTGCAGCCTTTTAAAGATAAATCACTTACGATTCCAGCAGTCAAGCTGCTGTATTTGTTGATGTAAAATGTTTTGAAGATGTAGATTGTACAATAAATTTTTAATAAAGTGCCCACTGCAATTTTTAATTAGCATATCTCATTCATGTATAAGTGTGTACATCTATCTGTGTGTTTATCACTGCGTGCATCCCCATGCTGGAGTTGATGGAGGCAGTTTTGCCTTTATCTGATCAAGCAGGATCTGCTCTACGAGCCAGGATGAGGTGCTCCAGCAATTCCGGGATTCCCAGCTTGGAATGGGAAGAGGCGCGGGGCATCCTCAGGAAGTGGGATCGCTCTAGAGCCCGGCGCCAGCACCGGCTCCCTGCTCTGTGCCAGGGAATCCTTCATCTGCCGTGTGTCTACTGTGGTGATCCAGGTTTTGGAGAGCTTCATGCGGCCTCTTTCCCTGGGAGCAGGTTCCAGTTTTCCTAGATCCTGGCTAGGAATAAGGGCAGGGAAGTCCTGCTTGCAGACCCAGCACTCCCAGCAAGTGCCCCTGAAGCTGCCGAAAAGCCCCAGGATCTGCACACCCCCAGCTGGTGAATGCACAAGTCCAGGTTATTTATTTAAAATAAGCCTRAAAAACAAAGTTATCCCCCCAAAACTACAGGAGGGACAACCGGTCTGATTCCTCTACCCTCTTTCCCCCATAGCTGAGGGTGTAAATATACCCCATATATATCTATATCCCTGGGTTCAGTCTGGGCAGGTGGCCTAGAGTCCCATGCTGGACACAGAGCTATAAGAGGCCCAAATGAAATGCATCTTTTCCAATATAATAGGGAGGAAAAATCCTAAAATAACTGGGGAATTTTGCTTATTTATTTATTTTCTGCCGCCTGTCCCCGCTGCGGTGGTGCGGCCGAGCTCCCTCGGTGTTCGCAGCCCTGAGACCTCTGCCGTGGCTCCAAGCTGTTCTGAATTAGGATGCTAGATTTTTCTAATTGCGTTTTTAAAGACGGAGCCAGCAGTTCATTAGGAATCACGGAGCGAATTCTGCTGCTCTGTTACACCAATATAAATCTTGAGTGAATTTATGGCAGGATAACGGAGGGTAGAGCCTACCTCCCATACTGTTTATTAAAAGTTAAAGGGCTCTGAAAATTAAATTCACCTTTCACCAGTCGGGCTGTTTACTCCTTACTTTTTGATTCCAGACAGGACAGTCGAAACGAATTAGCCGGCCTCGTTGCTGCCCGCAGTCACTTTTAAGTTGTGTTCCCATGTACTAGCCCGAGATAGCTTGTGTGGAAAAGACCAGGGGGCATTTTCTCCCAAACAAATTGTTTTCATGGGAATAATTTCCAAGCGAATTGTATTAAAGCAATTCCGTGAACCTTCGATCCTGCAGAAATATTTTCCCTGTGCCCATCCTGCAGCTGGAGCGCCGTAAGAAGCAACCCGGGTGGATGACGGGGATAACCCTATTAAACACTTTTTAAATGATCCCACACAGCAAAAAAAAGGGGCGGAAATAAATAAATAAATAAATAAATAAATAAATAAATAAATAAATAAACCTAAGGGATGAACCTTTGAAAATAAGATTTTATAATAGAAGTGCTGCCTGGACGTTCATTATAGGGACTAACTAGCGGTGCTGCGTTATGGTCGCGGGCTCAGCTGTTGCTCACAGTGCAGCACCCAGCACCGGGCAGTCCCGTAGAGGACAGATTATCCTGACTTCTTCTTCTTCTCATTATTATTATTATTATTATTATTATTATTATTATTATTATTATTATGTGACTTATTTAGAGGAAAGCACATCCTCGTGCAAGGCTCATAAATAAATGATGCCGCCAGTGGGGGGAAAAAAAAAAGGGGGAGAAAAGGCAAAGCGCCGCCTTTCCGCGGAGCGAGCCCGCACTGCCACCGTCCCCCGCCAGAGCCTGGTGTGCTTGCAGGCACTGGGCAGGGAGAACAGGGAGAGAGGAAGGAAAGGGGAAAGGAAAGGGGAAGAAAAAGGAGAAAAGGAGAAAATGGAAATAAATAAAGGGGAAAAAGGAAAAAAAAAAAGGAAAATAGGGGAAAAAATAGAAAAAAAAGAAAAGGGGAAAAATGGGAAAAAGGAAAAGGAATAAAGGGGGAAAAGGAAAAAAAAAAAAAGGGAAAAAAAGAGGAAAAAGGGAAAAGCAGGAAAGCCCAAATGGCAGCGTGCGGAGGGGAGCGGCGGTGATGTGGGGGCTTAACCCTTGGCGGGACGGTGACGCGGGCCGGCTGGTCTGTAAACAATGGTAATTAGCCCTTTCCCAAATCAGCGCTGATTAAAATCTCGGGGTCATTATTTATTCATCACAGGAGCCTCTTTGCAGACCTGGGAATAGCGATTAAAACTGAAGTGCTCGGCAGTGCGGTGCGATGCGGGGGGACACCTAAAAAGGGGTTAAAAAAGAAGGGAAAGAGAAAACGGAGCCAAGGGGATGCTGCTCCACAGAACCCATAGGTTCCTCTTCCCTTGTTGGCAGGAATGCTCCCATTCCCTCCAATTCTGAAATATGAAAATGTTTCTCATCCTAAGTACAAGTGTTAGACTGAATCCAGTTGGTACCGAAATTGCAAACACACTTTTCGCTCCGAGAAGAGCCCAAGCGGAGGAACTTCTTTTAACTCCATAATAGCAGGGTACAGTGCAAATGCCCAACTGCTGGCCCAGCAGCCAATTACGGGATAAATATCCGCTGTTTACGGCGAGGTGTTAGGAGCACAAAGGCTCAGACTGTCTAAGCTACAATTTGGGCTTCATCCCATTAAGGTCTCCCCAAAAAGGCCCGGGCCGCCGTAGGTGCACGGAGCGTATCCCGCGCYGTTGGTTTTAGCGCGCTTTGGTTCAATACACCCTCTTGTTTACTTTTGGAAATTTAAATAAATGTCAGCATTGTATAATTTCTATGTTAACAAAGCAGTGAGCAAAATCCCTTGTATGTTTATAAAATATTATTGTTTAATTCACATAGTTTAGGAATTCCAAATGTTGAGAATAGGAAGGAGGCCAAATACCATCTGTTTATAACTATGATGCATCATCATATGTGTACTTTAAAAAAAAAAAAAAAGAAGGGAGGGGGGTGGAAAAAAGCTTGGTCAATCATGCCACTGTGGGATCTGTCAGGGATACGGCGAGGTTTGAAATTGCTCCCTGTCGTTTGCAGGGGCTTTTTGGCTTTAACTCGGCGCGGGGCCGCGGCGGGAGCTGCTCCCGTCTCCGCTGCCGTGGAGCGGTGGAAGGAGCCGCAGCTCCCGCGCGCGCCGGGGCGGCCGCTCGCTCCCGGCCACGCGCTTCCCAGCGGGATGCGGGCGAGGAAATAGCACCGGGGGGGGGCGTGCGAAATCCCTAGGGGCTCTGGAGGGGATCTGTGCGTGTTCGCAGGTTCCTTTTCAGTTGATTCATGCCTTCATGTCCCTGGAATTTTAAGGACAAGGGAAAAAGCCCGGGGATTTTCTTCTCTCTCTTGCAGTGTGCAGGATACAAGCCAGCAGTCAGTTAATTTCAATTTTTTTTTTTTAATATGTATATATATCTTATTTTAAAAAGAGAAAATCTCCCTCAGACATCAACAGCTCTCGGTCCAAGCTAAAACAGGCCCTTGCTAAAAACACCACGTGCCGGTCCGCTGGGCAGTGCGCGGCGCCCGGCGGGAACCCAGGGTAGTCGGCGGGCTGAGAAACCAGGAGCGCATCCCTAAGCGGATAAGGAGATTTCATTTTTCCTCTTTCCCAACCCCAGGGTGATGGGCGGCGACGCGAGGCCCCGTCCCGGGAAGGTGCTCGGGCCGGGCRGCGGGGTCCCTGGTGCAGCCGGAGGGGTCCGCGCACCCCGCGCTCCCTGCCCGAGGATGCTCCGTGCATCCCGAGCTCGTGGGCATTGACGTTTAGAGCAACTTGTGTTTGGAGTGAAAGCAGGGGAGATTAATAAACTTAATCTGTCCTTGCTGGTGCAGCGAGGACAGCGCTATAGGGCACTGGCAGCTCCATTTGGGACRGTCCCCGTTCCAGAGCAGCAATCACGGGCTGTCCAGTGTTCTGACTGGTGTCTCCTGCATCCACACAGGTCCGGGTTCACAGGGGCGAACCGGAGCAGGGACAGCATCTCAGGCAGAAATATCCCCCTTCGGAATCAGTTGTAGTCGTCCTTATGTCCTTATGAAACCCCCAAAGCCTCGTGCGCTGGGCTGAGGAGAGCAGAGCGCGCTCGGGGCGCGCGGCCGGCGGCAGCAGCCCCGTCCGTCCCGCGCCGTCTCGCCCTGGGTTGATGCCACCGCCTGCTCCGTGAGCTCCGAGCCGTGAGGA